TAGTTTATGTCTTAATGAAGAATTTATAGTAAATATACTTTACATGCTTAGAATTTCTGAATGTCTGAGTTTATTTCCAGCAAGAACTCAAAAGATTAGGCAAGAGTTGCAAATATTTATAGGGAATAAATAATGCAAAAGTAAATTATGCTTGTAAAATATAAAAGATGTTTCTATACCTACTTTTAATTGAGAGATTCAGCTTACCAAAAAGGTTAATTCAGTTGCTTTTCTGTATCATTTCTAAGATGAACCTATAATTTTCCACATATACATGATTTTAAACAAAATTAATAAGGCTCCCATATAAGAAAATTTTAATTTTAAAAAATAGTTTAGCAGATGAATTTAATCATGTGGTATCAGTATGATACTATACCACATATATTGTCTATAGGAAGAATTGCTAGGTATTCAGTATCTGAGAAAGAAGATTCAATTAGAATTTAAAATCTGATTTAAGTCTCTAAAATTTTTTCTTAGAGTTTTATTAATCAAGATAAAAGAAAAGAAACAGAAGTTGAAGATAAATCAGAATCATTTATGCAAAAATATGAGCAAAAAATCAGACATTTTGGTAAGTCTACTTGGGTTTCCTTCTTTGTAATGTTTGGTATCATATGTACATGTGCAATAAATGGATTCATAAAATGAGAGGCAAAAAGAAAAGTGGCAAACTCCAGTTTTGTAACTACTTCTGGCACAGCTGTATAGATCTTGTTTTAGAATTTGTGTTTGTTATAAATAAAATTAATTGACAGAGCAAACCAAATGGCAAAGAGAAGCAAAATTATTATTACATAGTACTACATTCTAAGGCCACTTTATGTATTCCATAGCCTCTTTCCATTTCCTAGCTAGTCTTTGCTTTTTTCATTTTCTTCTTTGCTTTCTTGGAATCTGATTATCTGTTGGTTAAAAGATTAGTATTCATTTTTTTCTGGTTTTAGATATGATGCTTTATAATTCAGGCAGATCCTTGAACTGTTACTCGGATAAATATAGTAATAGAAATGTATATATAAATAACTGAAAAATAGTTTTTTTCTACTGTGGAAAAGGGGTAAGAGAGTAGTTGATATAAGTTAAGGCCTCCCAGAGGAGCCAGCGTCTGCACTTGATTTTGAGCGACAGATAGGAGTTTTTCATATATAAAGGAGGCAAGCCAACAGCAACAGCATGAGAAAGGCAGTTAGGAAACAGCATGGTGTGTTCTGAGAATTATAGGCAGTATGATACTGCTGGCATGAAAATGCTACTGGGAAGTGTTGGTGGTTAAGGTTTAAAACTTTTAATTCCAAGTAGTTTGTTAATTTAGTAAACATGGTTTTTATTTGTAATATGTTCATGAACTTTTTAAATGGTATTTTGAAATCCTTTTTCTATTGGTGTTTTTTTTTTTTACCTAAAGTTTTTTATTTCATTTATGCTTCAGTTATATCAATACGAAAAATATTACTTTCAATTTTTTCCCTTCCTTTCTTGCAAATTGTTCATAAAATATTCACTTTGCTCATACTTTTTACTTTAAAAAAAGAAAAAAGACTATTTAACTCAAGAATAGTACCTGAAGAAATAAGGACAAAGTTTTTCTACATAAAATCAATGTGGCATTATTTATAATAGGAAAAAAATGAATACACAGGCCTCCCTTGGATGGATAGTGAAATCTTTAAATGAGCAGAGCCTTGAGTCATAAGGATAGAAGGCAAAAAATTTGCACATGAATCTTAGTTGTGATATGTGAGTTGCCACTCCCGCCTACAGTTCTTGCTTTCTAGGCCCATGTTTTTCTGCTGAAAGAAAAATACTACCATACACCGATTGCTCTTTCAGAGCACGTACTGGATCTGGTGAAACAACATTCCTCAAGGTGTTTTCACCCAGTTGGCGCTCTGAAAGCTGGTTGCTTTGAAGCCCTGAGAAACCTAGTAAATGAGAAACAGTTTCACTTTTACTGTAAGCTGAGTGCCTTGTTCAGAGCAATTTTGTGTAGGAAAATATCCAAATAATACAAAGTGTTGTAACACATCTGGCACTATAAATCTTCAGTAAACCATTTCACCATTTTATAAAACCTGCTGCTTCTGGGTAGTAATGTTCATGATGAGAACAGTGAATTTCATGAACCCTACAGTCTTATTTCTTTTGCTCTAAAATGAGTTTTTGGGTCAAAAAATAATGTGGTGTGGTGATTAATTCATTTAGTAAGACTACAGATGTATTACTGATTGAAGGCATGGCAAGGAGGGAGGGCACTTCCAGATCTAGAGTGGGCTCGTTCAAGTGAGGAATTACCAGGCCCTCTGAGATGAAATGGAACCAAGGTAATTAACCTGCTACTTGATCACTGATTGATGTCTGCAGTGCATTGTGCCATATTGAGATTTTGGTGTTTTTTGCTACTGGCAAATTAGGTGTTCAGTCGCTAAACTGGATTAGAATACTGGAACATCCTTAATGGGAAAAGCCTACACTGTTCAATCTGCATAATCTCAAACCTGTGCCACCATGGCCCCTGAGTTTATGAAACTGTGGTGCAAATAATGAGATAGTTGAGGAAAAAGACTGACTTCACATCTGCAGGTGATTAATAAGCAATCATTTTGCCATTGTGTGTTGTGAGCCTCCCATATATTATCTTGTAATACCGGAGCCTTGCTGTTTTCACACCCAGCCAGATCATAGCCATTTCCAGAGTCACATTGTACCTGTTTCTTAGTGGAAATGCATATTGTCTTTTACTTCAGAGGAGATACACTAGTTGCCACAGCACTTTGGATTCCCCAGGAATGGTATGAAGGTAGTAGGCTCCCAAAATTTTCGTGTGTTTTATTTCCCACTCTGGCATAGATATATCTTAACAAGGGACCTGGAATACCTGCAATTTTTGCTTTACCCAATTCCATCTATGGGGAGTGAACCAACTTGTAGTCATGGGGAATGATGAGATAATAAAAATCCCTGTAGACTGAATTATGGCACAGAGTTGATAGAGCTGTAGACTAGACAGTAAAAACTTGTGGCTATACCTGCTTGATGGAAGGTTTCTGATGTATGCTTATTGTGATAATAGAAGAAAGCTTAGCAAAATGATGACTATATTGGTATAACTCCTTTGAGTTTTTTTGTCATTGTTGAAGTTTTGTTTTAAGTTCAGGGGTACACGTGCAGGATGTGCAGGTTTGTTACATAGGTAAGCATGTGTCATGGGGATTTGTTGTACAGATTATTTCCTCACCCAGGTATTGAGCCTGGTATCCATTAGTTATTTTTCCTGATCCTATCCCTCCTCCCACCCTCCGCTCTTTGGTAAGCTCCAGTGTGCATTGTTCCTTCTCTGTGTGTGCATGTATTCTTATCATTTAGCTCCCACTTATAAGTGAGAACGTGCAATATTTGGTTTTCTGTTCCTGTGTTAGTTTGCTCAGGATAATAGCCTATGGTATACTCTTTTAAATACATCTACAATAGGAGATGTAATTAAAGCTTCCAGTTGGAGGCTTTCTGGACTTGGATTGCATTCTAGACTCTTGGATGACATGAGCCTGGTATGTAAGGGGGCTGTGTAGGGCTATAGGGCCTTCACACAGTGCTTCTTTGGTCTGATCTGTACTTATATTCTTCAGAGTTTTTCCTAACTTTTCCCTTACACTATTTGTTGACTGCTTTTCTTGTGCTACTTTTACCCTTAAAATTAGGTGGAATTTACCACCTAATGGTAAATGGTACAGTATATCATAGAATATTATAACACAGTGAAATCTGATTTTTCCCCTATATTTGTATTTAATTTATTAATTTAGTTAATTCACATTTTATAAAATATTAATTTAGAAACAAAGCCTTTTATCTTTTAAATTTCACAACAGTTATACTCAAAGTTACATGCATCTGTGACATCACTGGTTTTATAATCATCAGAAGCTTTTTTGAGCCATCTAATTTTTCATAGCACATCATCTTCACTTTCAGCGAAAGTTAGCTGTGATTCAGCCTTTTTTAATGTGTAGGATGTTGTCACTGGAAATTTTATCAAGAGTTATAAACATTTGTGCAAATACTATGATAGGATTTTTTTTGTTTGTACTGACTGAATATTTACAACTTCTTCAAAATAATTATTGCTTTTAAAAAACATCAATATTCTATTTTTGAAAAACATTTAATGTAAAGCACTCTTACATATGAAGTGAAATAAATATAAAATGTGTATGATTTTAATTTTTTTTTAAGTTATTCAAAAATATGCCTGGAAGGAAATACATCAAAATGTTAATAACCATCTCTTGTGGTAGAATTACAGATAACTTTTATTTTCTGGATTTTAAAAATTCTTCACAATAAATAAACTTTATAATCTGAGAAACGTATTTTCAAAGAGTTTATCCTAAGAATTCAAAATGGCTTAATATTAGAGAATTCATTGTGTGATTCACAATATTAATTGATCAGAGTAGTATAACTACAGGACTTGATGATCAGTTTGATGTGGGAGAAATGGAAATACCAGAGGAATTTCTAGAATGCTTGATTCAGTAACCTGGAGGCTAGGAAGCATTGTAGGATGGCAGAGAGACAAATATTGGTTTGGATTCATGTAAGATGGATTTATGTGCAGGCATATTGGTAGAAATGCATATGGTGGTAGATGATTGGAAATATAGGAGATCTGGAGTTTAGGAATATGGGAAAGTCATACAGCTTTCCTCAAGGAATTCACAAATTAGCTGGGAGATTTTTAGTACATAGAGAAATTAAAATGAATTATTGCATTGTGTTAGAATGTATCATTTTAGGCCTGGCATGGTGATCATGCCTGTAATCCCAGCACTTTGGAAAACTGAGGCTGGAGGATCACTTGAGCCCAGGGGTTCAAGACCAGCTTGGGCAACACAGTGAAACCTCACCTCTACCAAAAAACAAATATGTATATGTAACTAATATATTCTGCTTACTAAATAAGATGCAAAAATATTCATTATTTGCATAGTCCTTTTGGAGAAACTCAGAAAAAAAAAAAAAAAAATTAGCCAGTTGTGGTGGCTTATACCTGTAGTTCCAGCTACTCCAGAGGCTGAGGTGGGACGATTGCTTGAGCCCAGGAGGTTGAGGCTGCAATGAGTTGTGGTTGTACCAGTGCACTCCAGCCTAGGCAACAGAGGAAGACCCTGTCTCTCAAAAAAAAAAAAAAATTCTATCAGTATAATGAAAGAGGAAAGGGAAATCAGTAATAAGGACATGTGTATTTGTGTATTTCAGGACAATTTTAGGAATCAGGTGGCATATCGAGGGTTAATGGATGGATTCAGATTTAGATGTTCACTAGGGAAATACATGGGCTAAAGCATATAATTAAAATATTTAAATTTGTCAAAGTGGCCAAGCATTCAAAGAATTTGTTTGGCTAGGTTGTTAAATGACTGTATTATCCTTTACCAAAGGATTAGATAAATAAACATTTTTAAATTAGTGTTTATCATTTATCGAGTATTTGCTATGTCTCAGGCACTGTTCTAAGTGCTTTATATGAGTTAATAGCATTTAATTGTCACAAAAATCCGAGTTGGATACTATTTTACAGATGAGGAAATGGAGGTATATAAAGCGACTTGCCCATGATGGTAAAATGGTGAAGCCAGTATTTGAACCTGGGCCGTTAAGTTCTGCTTTCTCAGTCACCGTCTTAGATTGTTACTTTTCATTTGTATACAAGTTTGTTTACAAAGTCCAAAATAATATCATTATTTTGAGGTATATTCTGTTCCACTAAGTGATTGATTCTCTTTTATTTATTTATTTATTTTTGAGGCAGAGTCTTGCTCTATTTCCCAGGCTGGAGTGCAGTCACAAGATCATAGCTCATTGTAGCCTCAATGTCTTAGGCTCAAGCAATCCTCCTGCCCCAGTCTCCCAAGTAGCTGGGACTACCACACCTGGCTAATTATCTTTTGTTTTGTAGAGACAGAGTCTGGCTTTATTGCCCAGACTGGCCTAAAACTTCTGTGCCTCAGGTGATTCTCCTGCTTGGGCCTCCAGAAGTGCTGGGATTATAGGCGTGAGCTACCATACCCCACCTCTCTTTAAGTATTTTGTTTACAAAATTCCACACAATTTCTACAAAGGTCTGTATCAACTACCTGTAACTTAACTTCTCAATTTCATACTGATTCAGTGTGCATTTTTGAAATCAAGTGATGGTAAGTATTTCTCAGATTTAAAAAAAAAATTTTTTTTCAACATCAAGTGTTAATTTGTCTCAGGTATTAAATAGGTAGTTAAAAAATATTAACATTCGGCCAGGCGTGGTGGCTCATGCCTGTAATCCCAGCACTTTGGGAGGCCGAGGTGAGTGGATCACGGGGTCAGGAATTCGCGACCAGCCTTTCACCAACATGATGAAGGAAAATACAAAAATTAGTCGGCCATGGTGGCACGTGCCTGTAATGCCAGCTACTCAGGAGACTAAGGCAGAATTGTTTGAAGCTGCAAGGCAGAGGTTGCAGTGAGCCAAGCTGGAGCACAGTGGTTCCATCACACCTTCTGCAGCCTCCAACTCCTATGCTCTCAAGTGATCCTGCCTCCTCAGCCTCCTAAGTAGCTGGGACTGAAGGTGCACACTGCCATGCCCAGCTAATTTTAAACTTTTTCTGTAGAGACAGGGTCTTACTATGTTGCCCAAGTTGGCCTGTAACTTCTGGACTCCACCAGTCCTCTGGCCTCAGCCTCCAAAAGTGCTGAGATTACAGGCATGTGCCATCATGCCCACCCAGCCTATCCCCTTTGAGATGAAGTCTTGCTCTGTCACCCAGGCTGGAGTGCAGTGGTAAAATCTTGGCTCGCTACAACCTCTGCCTCCTGGGTTCAAGCGATTCTTGTGTCTCAGCCTCCTGAGCAGCTGGGATTACAAGCACCTGCCACCATGCCCAGCTAATTTTTGTATTTTTAGTAGAGACAGGGTTTTACCATGTTGGCCAAGCTGGTCTTGAACTCCTGCTTCAGGTGATCCGCCCGCCTTGACCTCCTAGAGTGCTGGGATTGCAGGTGTGAGCCACCATGCCTGGCCCTATCCCCTTTTTTTAAGTGAGGAAAAATTAATCATTTATTTTTAATTGACTCGCATTTTTGCTGTGTATTCTCAGTAGGACATTTGTCTTCAGTTTTGTTCTTTCTTGTGTACTGATGTGGAATTAAATATATAGGAGTTCATTTCATGCCCACAGGAAAGGTTTACTGCTAAACTATTGAGTCAGCTCTACAAAATTTCCATGAATATCAGACTTCTTTGTATGATCATGTCTAAAGAATCTAAACCTAACACTGCTATATTGAATTTATTCAGTTAGCCAGGCACAGTGGCTCATACCTGTAATCTCAGCACTTCAAGAAGCCTAGCCAGGAGAATCTCTTGAGGCCAGGAGTTCAAGACCAGCCTGAGCAACATAGCGAGACCCTCATCTTTATGGAAAAAAAAAGAAAAGAAAAATAAAATCTATTCATTTATAAGACTGACTAGACAACATTAAAAAGTTAACATTTTGCTGGTTCCATGATTTCTTTGTGGTGGTATTAACCTTGACCAAATTTCCTACTAATTTAGATAAAGGTACAGATATACCTTAAATAGTATTTGGATTTCTTTGACATCTTGAAACAAAATGGCAACCATTTTCAAATATGCTTAACTAATTTTTGGAAGACTTTGTTTATAACAGACTCATGAGTAAATGGCTTACGTAACTAACTCTCAGTTTGCCCAAGACTTCGGGCGTTCCTAGATGCAGGACTTTCTGATATTGAGCTGGCCACTCTAGACTAATTATCTGAAATAAAGCTTTCTGTGAATTTTAGAAGCTATTTCCGGTCTACTATATATTGCTTTAAAGAGTATTAACCCTCACTTGCTATTTACCGTAATCTGTTGCTCTGGTAATATGCATTGTCTTTAAAGAGAATCATTTAAAAATACCATTGAGAGGGCCGGGCGCGGTGGCTCAAGCCTGTAATCCCAGCACTTTGGGAGGCTGAGGCGGGTGGATCACAAGGTCAAGAGATTGAGACCATCCTGGTCAACATGGTGAAACCCCGTCTCTACTAAAAATACAAAAATTAGCTGGGCATGGTGGCGCGTGCCTGTAATCCCAGCTACTCAGGAGGCTGAGGCAGGAGAATTACCTGAACCCAGGAGGCGGAGGTTGCGGTGAGCCGAGATCGCGCCATTGCACGCCAGCCTGGGTAACAAGAGCAAAACTCCGTCTCAGAAAAAAAAAAAAAAAATACCATTGAGAGATTAATGAATTAAGAATGTTTGGTATTTCTTCCCTTATAGGAAGAAAGAAAATATTTGACATTTATGGTTCAATTCTTTTTTTTACAGGTATGTTGAGTCGATGGGATGATAGTCAGAGATTTTTGTCTGACCATCCATACCTTGTATGTGAAGAAACTGCTAAATATCTTATTTTATGGTGTTTTCACCTAGAAGCTGAGAAGGTATTATTATGTGAACCTTGACTTTCTGGGTACCTTAGTGGAAATCTGATTTCATACTTTATTGATGTTTTGTTCTGTTTTCTATATTATGCCCTTTAAAAGAAAGCAGGAAGGTCATTAGATGGAATTACCATTTTTTGCTTTCAGATGTGCTTGAGTTTAATGTGGGATTTTGTTGTTGTTTGAGTTAGCATGCAGAGGCTTTTCCACTATACTTTCTCTGCCACTCTACCCCTGTCTCTCCTGTTTCCATGTACTATAATCTTTTTTCAAACTAATTTGAAAGTGTTTTATTATTTTATTTATTTTTTTGGTTTTGAGATGGAGTTTCACTCTTGTTGCCCAAGCTGGAGTGCGATGGTGCAACCTTGGCTAACTGCAACCTCTGCCTCCCAGGTTCAAGTGATCCTCCTGCCTCAGCCTCCCAAGTAGCTGGGATTACAGGCATATGCCACCATGCCCAGCTAATTTTTTTGTATTTTTAGTAGAAACAGGGTTTCACCATGTTAGCCAGGCTGGTCTCAAACTCCTGACCTCAAGTGATCCACCCACCTCGGCCTCCCAAAGTGCTGGGATTACGGGCATGAGTCACCACACCTGGCCTGAAAGTCATGTGTGTGTGTGTGTGTGTATATATATATATATATGTATATATATAGAGAGAGAGAGAGACAGAGTTTCACTCTTGTTGCCCAGGTTGTTGTGCAATGGCACGGATCTTGGCTCATTGTAATCTTCACCTTCCGGGTTCAAGTGATTCTCCTGCCTCAGCCTCCTGAATAACTGGGATTACAGGCACCTGCCACCATGCCTGGCTAATTTTTGTATTTTTAGTAGAGATGGGGCTCCACCACATTGTTCAGGCTGGTTTTAAACTCCTGACCTCAGGTAATCTGCCCGCCTTAGCCTCCAAAAGTGCTGGGATTACAGGCGTGAGCCACCACCATGCCTGGCAGAAAGTCATATTTTTTTTAAATCCAGACAGTAATCACAGTATTAAATCAAGTTCAGAGCATGGTCTTCCATTAGTTATTCTGGTCCACATACAAATTATCAAAAAAAGAACCCTAAGATATATTGTTTATATGTTTGTAAACTATTTGACTTAAAACTAAAGAGAGTAAATCAAAAGTATTCTAAAAATTCAAAATTTGAATCAGTATGCCAATTAAATATATTTATATATTTATTATATCATTTAAATCTGTTTCTTTTCAGAAAGGGGCTTTAATGGAACAAATAGCACATCAGGCCGTTGTAATGCAGTTTATTATGGAAATGGCCAAAAACTGTAATGTGGATCCAAGAGGGTGTTTTCGTTTATTTTTCCAGAAAGCCAAAGTAAGTAATTAGCTGAGACCTCTTTGTTCTATTCATATCAATAGAAAGCATCCAAGCAGTATGCCACAAGCTAAATTCTGTAGATTTTCTTGTGAAAAGAAAATTTGTATTGCTAATTTCATGCTAATTTAGGCTTACAAGAGCTATATAAGAGGTTGTACTATAGCATATGTATGAAATTGAGACTCATTCAAAGGAATGTGTGTATTCAGGAAACTTGTGTTCCATCATTAATTCATTCAGTAAATATTGAGTGCCTGATGCAAAGCACAGCTGTTTCAGATGCTCAGGATGCGCTGTTAAGCAAAATAGATACAGCATTCTTCATGTGTAGAACTTAACAGTTTAATGAAAAATCAGACTTTTATAAAGAAAAAATAAGCAACCTAAAAATTCATCAGTTAAGGGAATATTTAAAAATACCTATGGTACATAGAATATTATGCATTCTTTAAAATTATATTAATGGATCATTTGTAGTGAGCTGAAGAAATGCTTATATTATAAATTCACAAGAAGCAGTACATACTAGAGGTTGTTGGCCATGTTGAAGAAAAATAGATGTCTATAAAGATTAAGTACATTTCACACTCACAAGATTAGTAATAATTTAAAAGCTGCCCAAGAAGTAGAGCAATAAGAATTTGCATTCACTGCTAGTGGAAGTATAAATTGGAACAACCACTTTGCAAAATTTTCTAGTAAAGCTCAACAAGTGCCTACCTTAACACCCAGAAATTCTCCTAGGTGTATACAACCTAGAGAGTAGATTCTCAAGGTGTGGTCCAGGGACCCCTGAGGGAGTTCAAGACCTTTTCAGGAAGTCCTGAGTCCAGACTATTTTCATAATAATACCAAGATGTTATTTTTTATTTTCATTTTCATTCTCTCAGTAGTGTACAATAGAGATTAATGCAGAAGTACAAACTAAGATGTTATTTTTTTATTTTCATTTTCATTCTCTCAGTAGTATACAGTAGAGATTAATGTGAAAGTACAAATATGAGAATCTAGCCATCTTCTGTAAAGCCAGACATTATTAGATTTAGATTTAGAAAAACTGAAGGAAAAGCAGCTCTCTTCTCACTAACTTTTTTTGTTTTGGCAAACAATTTTTTTTTTTTAATAAAAATCTTACTAATGGTGGTATAATGAGTTTGTCGTTATTTTTAGTTAATATTTTTAAAATTCCTCAGTTTTAATTTCTAACAGTAAATACTGACAGATATAACTCACATAAACAGAAGCTCTTTAGGGTCCTCAATAATTTTCAAGACTGTAAAGAGAACTGCTTCCCTTGAAAAACTCTTAACACATGTGTATTAGGTTGCCATAATGTTTATGGTAGATTGTTCATAATAGCAAAAAGCCTAGGAACAATGAATAAATTTTGGTACAGGTTGAGTATTCCTAATCCAAAATTCAAAATGTTCCAAAATCCAAAACTTTTGAGCATTGCCATGACACTCAAAGGAAATACACATTTTGTGTTTTCAAATTAGAGATGTTCAACTGGTAAGTATAATGCAGATATTCCCAGATCTGAAAAAGTTCACAATCTGAAAAACTTCTGGTACCAAGCATTTCTTATATGCAACCTGTATATTCATTCTATAAAATACTAGCCAACATCAGCTTGGATTAAAAAAATAGGAGAGTCAATCAAACAAACCACAGAGTGATATATCTGTCTAGATAGAGACTAAATAGATATATCTAGTATCAAAGTTCATATTTTGTATTTCTTTTAAAGTATATATATACTTCTTAAGTATATATAGTACTTTTTTTGAGATGGAGACTCATTCTGTCACCCAGGCTGGAGTACAGTGGTGTGATCTTGGCTCACTGCAACCTCTGCCACCTGGGTTGGAGCAATTCTCCTGCCTCAGCCATCCGAGTAGCTGGGATTACAGGTGTGCGCCACCACACCCAGCTAATTTTTGTATTTTTAGTAGAGATGGGGTTTTGCCATGTTGGCCAAGCTGGTCTTGAACTCCTGACCTCTAGTGATCCACCCACCTTGGCCTCCCAGGGTGCTGGGATTACAGGCATGAGCCACCATGCCCAGCCATAAAGTATTTTTTTAATAACAGGCAGAACTAAGTATATTGTTGAAGGATACATATATATGCAGTAAAACCAAAGAAACAAAGGAATAATTAAGAAGACAAAAGTTACAATAATGATAACCTCAGGGAGGGAGGGGGAATGCTCTTGAGAACTAGTTTTTAGGATACTAGTAATGATCTATTTCCTATTTTCTAGGGGTACATAGTGGGGGTTTTGCTGAATAAATTGTGCATATATCTTTTACATGTTCTTCTGCACATAGGATATATTTGGACATATACAGTTAGAAGTTAAAAGGAAATATACCAAAAGTTTAACTTCGGTTATACTTGTGTGGTAGAATTATAAACAATTTCCATTTTCTTTTTCATGTACTACTATGAATATTTCCTTTTATAAACAGATAAAATTATTATTTTTATATTTTAAAAAACCTATCAATGTGGCAGTAGTCCTAACTTAAATGCCCTAAACTCTTCTGAAATGGAACCAAAATACGAAGTTTTCCTCAAACAGTTGAACTTTAATACTAAATATTTGACATGTCATTTTAGCTAGGTTCCTTCTGGTGACTAGTCTAAATTTTTGTTTGTTTGCTTTTAGAGACAAGGTCCTGCTCTGTCATGCAGGCTAGAGTGCAGAGGTGCAATCATTGCTCACTGCAGCCTTGAACTCCTGGGCTCAAGCAATCATCCTCTCAGATTCCCAAGTATCTGGGACTGCAGGTGTATGTCGCCATACCCAGCTAATTTTCTGTAGAGATAGGGTCTCACTATGTTGCCCAGGGTGGTCTTGAACTTCTGGGCTCAAGCTGTCCTCCCACCTTAACCTTTCAAAATGCTGGGATTGAGCCACCTCGCCCAATCTAGCCTAAATTTTAACTTGACACATAAAAGTAGTAAAAACTATACTTTCCTTTTCATCTTATATTAATAGATGTGTTTAAACTGGTCCTTAATAAAAGAATGGAACATGGCCAAACCATACATATATTCTTTGACATTTACTTTAACATAGTAAATGAAGTACAACTGAAAGGCACTGGTCTTCAATCTTAACATTATTGTTAATAATACTTTTTAATTATGAAATAATCATTTTTATGGTTTGCTTTGTTCCAGGGACTGTTCTAAGCACTTTACATGGATTAACTCATTAAATCCATATAACATTTTATGAAAATTACTGTTGCTGTCTTATAGGTGAAGAAATTAGCATAAAGAAATTAAGCAAGTGGCCCATAGATTACTTAATAATATAAAATCTGTCATCACTCTGTATCTGCATCCCTAAACCTTAGGCATGCAGTGAGGTGAGCAATTGTGGCTGTTAATTTTCAGAAAGAATACTTTTGGATATGACATACTGTGTGTCCACAGAAGTTCTTATAAAGTGAGGTGCTAAAATGTAATTGAGGAAATTCTTCCTAAATGTGTAAGAAGATAAGATGGCAGCACAGGTCATTCTCCACATTATTTGAATAGATGCTGATGCTAATAACTAATCCACAGGTTTAACCTGATTACACAACCTACAGTTCACCCTACTTGAACTTAAAACCTGCATTCTATTGGTAGAATAAATCTCTGTATCATTTCTCTGTATTCAGAGGAGACATAAACAGAGGCAGTTGCCAATAGGGAGTTGCCTAAGAGTTCTACTCCCTCAATGTAAGTTATCATACTTTTTCTTTCCATTAATATTGAAAAGAAGGTACTTGCCTAACTAGAACAAGATATTTCCATAATTGTGTTGACCGTTGAATTCTATTTGATTTTCATAGCTCCTATAAGTAGGGAATATAGAGTTAGAAAATTACTAAAAACAGGTAATAATGCCCCCTCATTAATTGTTGAAGAATTAAAAGGTTTTAAGAATATCCCTTGATTGTTTGGTAGTAGGAATATGATAGAATGAATTTGAGAGATTAAATGAGGACCATTTTGGATCCTGTTAAGGATTCAGATAAATCAAGGAATATACAGAGAAAGGCTTAAGTTGTGTGTATATGTATAGGGAGGGGTTGTTTTTTATCAGTTTACTTTGCTGAAGCATAAGGAAATGGAGCAAACCAATTATTAATGTTTCTATAAATCAGGTAGTTTTCACAAATGTGGCAGGGATTGTGGTGGTTTCTTTGTTTAGACTGTTCACCTTGTCATTACTTCTTTACTTCAGACCCGTTATATGCTTTCTGGAATTTACTGTGTCTAGAAATCTTGAAGAACACAATCTTTGTTTTTTTGTTTTTTCTAGGCAGAGGAAGAAGGTTATTTTGAAGCATTCAAAAATGAACTTGAAGCTTTCAAGTCAAGAGTAAGACTTTATTCTCAATCACAAAGTTTTCAACCTATGGCAGTTCAGAATCATGTTCCCCATTCTGGTGTTGGATCTATAGGTTTATCAGAATCCTTACCACAGGTAAGTTGGAAAAGTAAATATTTATTTATTTATTTATTTAGAGACAGAGTCTTGCACTGTTGCCCAGGCCGGAGTGCAATGGCACAATCTTGGCTCAGTGCAACCTCCACCTCCTGCATTCATGCGATTCTCCTGCCTCAGCCTCCCAAGTAGTTGGGATTACACCACCACACCAGGCTAATTTTTTGTATTTTTAGTAGAGGTGGGGTTTCACTATTTTAGCCAGACTGGTCTCGAACTCCTGACCTTGTGACCCCCCTGCCTCTGCCTCCCAAAATGCTGGGATTACAGGTGTGAGCCATGGTGCCCGGCCAAATTCTTATTTTATAAGCATATTAGTTCACATAATTTTTGTTATTTTGGTCCACTCTTTTTTTTTTTTTTTAATATGTGTTACCATTTTAAATATTCCTGCCTCAGAAGATAACTGTTGAATCTTATTTCATGCCATGTTTTGGCACTGAATCTCACCTCAAGTATTTAAGAGATACCAGATTTCCTCTCCTTTTAATGTAGTAGTGATTAGTTGTACCTAACCATTCTTAAGAACAAATGTTAGCTATTGATCATCTCAATCATAAACTCTTCAAGATGGCTCTTCCTTAAAACATCTCATTCTAGGCCGGGCACAGTGGCTCGTGCCTGTAATCCCAGCACTTTGGGAGGCCGAGGCGGGCAGATCACACGGTCAGATCGAGACCATCCTGGCCAACATGGTGAAACCCCAACTCTACTAAAAATACGAAAATTAGCTGGGCATGGTGGCATGTACCTGTAATCCCAGCTATTGGGGAAGCTGAGGCAGGATAATTGCTTGAATCAGGGAATTAGAGGTTGCACTGAGCTGAAATTGCACCTCTGCACTCCAGCCTGGTGACAGAGTGAGACTCTGTCTCAAATTTAAAAATCTCATTCTGAGTTAGAACTATGCCATGTTGAATTTTTTAGGATGAATTAGCTTCAAAGTGTACGTGCAGGTGGAACCAGTGTGATGTGTTGCTTACGTTTATTTAGTATTTTCTTGTTTAGTGTTGGTATTGTCTGCCAGAGGTGACATTTTTAGAACACATTAATGTAGCTGATAATATTGTATCTGGTAATATTGGCCAACTGTTTGAGCCTCTTCAAAGTCTTAAGTGGTTTGATCAAGATAAAACCATGTCATATGGGCAATACGAAACAATTTACATCAAAAAGGAGAGGTCATCAGACCACCGGTCTGCCTGATTCTAGTTAGGATTACAACTAGCATTTAGTTAGGATTTAAGTTATTAGATAATTCCTATCCATTTGATTTTACTAGTAGCACTTTAATAGAGCCCAGTCATCTCTCATTTCCAGGCTCCAAGATTTTAAGACCAGCTTTAGCCAGTTTAATCTGTTGTCTATATTGTAAGAAGGAAAGTCTCATTCAAAAGACAATGTGAGGAGAGTCCTGTGTTTAGTTTTAGACTTCCTAAAGTGCTAAAAATTGAGATTTTCAGTGACCTGGACCTTATGTCACTATAATTTCACCATTCCAATTACATGTAGTGTATGCCCTTTAAGGGGAGTAATTGATCATATTTACCCCACTCAAAAATATCATTCTTATGAGTCTCTGAGCCTACTCTGGCTCTAGAGGCTGCCTGGAAAAAAAAAAATTTCTCAAGGATGGAAATAATAAATGTCTGATTTTTAAATAATTAGTAATGTTCCCCCTTAGTTAGACATGTAAGGAATATTCCCCCTACAAATTTCCTACAGATTTTCTCTTAATTTTATGTCAGTGATTATTTTTCTCTTCAGTTCCTGAGAAGTAGCCCACTGGGAAGTAGTTTTTCCAGGGGAATTCTGTGACCAAGTCACTGTGAAATCCAATATATAAACTTCCTGCAATTAAAATGTCACATAATGCAAGGGAAAGAAAAAAGAGACTTTGGAAGGGTGTAATTGATTCTAAATATAAGAAGAAAAGGTACACATTATAGTATCTTAGGCCTATATTATTTAGAAATTGCCTCTGGTTTGAGAGAAGTAAGTTCTTGTTACATATATTAGATAGCAACTGATATCAGATACTAGGCATCCCTTAGAGTCATAGGTGGACTAGGATTATACAATTCTGACACTTTTGGATTGCTGATATTATCAGGGTTATTCAGATTTAATTAAGCTGGGCTAATGTCCTCACGGTGGGAGACCAATTTCTCTTGGCAAGTAATTTGAGCATCCTGGTATAGTCCTTCTGAAAGATACAAGAGCTGGACAAAATTTCAGTCAGATGCTACCTGTGCAGAAAGGATCATTGACTAGTTGAAGGAAATAAAAAGAGGCTACTTGAGAGACCAAATCATCAGTTTAGAGATTTGGAAGAAAAATCTTACCATAATAATAACATCCCATTTTTATATCAGTTTATAGGTTACAAAGCACTTTCACACATATAATTTAATCTTCTCATTTTTCCTATGATTCATTTTCATTTCATTTTTATAGATGAGTAAACTGAAAGTCATGGAACTTAAGTAATTTGCCTGAAGTCAACACAATAAGTGATTAATGTTCTACTTTTGGATTTCTATTCTGCTTCACTATTTGTTCACCTATATCACAGACTGTTGAATCATATGTGTTGAGAATGTTACTAGATGAAAATATGGGTCAGTTAATGAAATTTAAGTATAGGTTAGGTTGGGTATATCAATTCCTTATTTTTGAAAGTCTCTGTATGATAGTATCTTATAGTCCTTGGGAAGATGGATGGATGAGTTTGGGGAATCTCCTCAGCCAATTCTCTTATTCAAAACTGTGTCATGGAAAACTGGAGCCCAGTCTTAATAGAGTAACTAATTGTAAGCTCTGTTCCAGTGAGCTTACAGAGAATTATGCTTGGATTGTCAGAAAAAGGTCTTAAGGCTGTTTTTTTGGAGAATGGGACAAGATAACAAAAATATTGATCATTTTGGATAAAGCTTAAGTGTGGATAACTATTTAGCTTTTAATTTCTTTTTTTACATATAATTGACAGTAATCTTGTGAAATTAGCCAAATACTCTTCATTATTCTTAGTTTTGAGAGGTCTAATCCAAGTCTTCTTGGATGTAGATATAACAGCAGTTACTTTAGGTTTATCCTATAGGCTAGCTTTTAATTTTACCAAATTGCAAATTTTTTTCTCCTTGAGGATTGCTCTACTAAATAGAGGCAGGATTAAAACTGAGGCCCAGTGTGAGTATCCCAGACCTCAGTCAGTTGTCTCTGCTACTTCCTTTATAAAGACCTGATTGTGAGTCATCCAAACTCCAGCTAGCTTTCTGACTTTTACAATAAAGGAATCTCATGAAGTGTTGCACTTTCTGAGGATCTTTAGAAAACTCTGCCTCCCAACCTCCTATTGGATGGTGACGTTTAAGGCATCTCTCCTGTTTGGACCATTTTCCTCATTGGTGTTTATTAAATAAAATAAATATAAATAAAACTAGTAATACAAGTGGTAAAAGTCTTAAGTAACTAGCAGATATTCAGAACAGTTGAGTAGACAAAATTGAATTCTTGGGGAACAATTTTCTAAAGTTCTGGGTCGTAAACGGCTATACCTTTATTCATAGTATAATACAAGCTGATATTTTATTCTCAGTTTAAAAAATAAGGGTCTAAATACCTCTCAAAAGAGTCCAGATTTCTCACTGAGTTTGTTTTAACTTTTGGCAAAACAAAATAGACCCTGAAGATATCCAGAATTTTTACCCAGTCAATGGATTTTATTATTCAGATGATTTGCATTTTTAGTATTTACTATTGTAATTAGATGGTAATCTTAAAAATGCATTGCTGGCTTCAAACCGTATTTAAATTATCAGTAGCTATGTATATATAAACACGTGGACGTTGTAGCCTTGCCTTGTATTATTAAATAATGTATGGTTTTGTTAAATGGAGAAGAAAGGTGGTATTTGTTAACAATTCTGTTTTTCATATGTATCATTCTTTTATCACATCTCTTAGGTGATAGCATCCTGTTTTTTTTCTTTATTTTCTTGGGTTTCAGCCCAAGTCTGACTCACATCTTCTTACCTACTACTCTACTACACTGCAGAGAAATAGGACTATGAAACTGAATATGTATGTATGTACTATCATAAAACTGGTTATAATGCATTTTCTCCCCCATCCGCCTTTTCTTTTTCCCCAGAATCCAGATTATCTTCAGTATTCTATCAATACAGCTCTCTGCAGCTTAAACTCAGTGGTACATAAAGAAGATGATGAACCCAAAATGATGGACACTGTATAATTTGGTTAAAACTGCTGAGGCCAAGTGCTATTTTGTTACAAGAAAGGAAGAACTTGGCTATTTTCTTGACACTTTTATGGGTGCTGCACTTTATTTTTGTTTGTTTTTTGATGGGAGGGAAAGAGTACTGAAACGTTTTGTACATTTTTTTTAATGTGCTGCTAGGTTTTTTGTTTTGTTTTGTTCTGAAGAGAGGAGTGGTACCATATGTTGCAGGAAGTCAAACTGGACTTTTTGTGGCTACTAAATTTGCCTTTAATCTTATTGTTCTCAATTTTGGAATCAAAGTATGAAAATCTGCACAAATGCAATGTTTACAGGAACTGGTCGATTCTGGGAGGCATCTGCTACAGTCTCTTTTTATATGGATATGTACATGTCCTATTCTACAAAAATGATTAAAGATAAAAATGTACCTGTATCACACTGCTAATTTAGCTGTCAAATCTGGTGTTTCATCACATTAAAAGCAATAAATCAGTAGTTGGTAATCGGCCTTACTAAAGTTGGGGGGTACAATTATTAAAAGTCTTAACTCTTAAATATGTGACTTTCGGCACCATCAGTTAAATCCTTGAATATAATACAAATTTGATGTGGACAGTGCATTTACCCTCAAATGATTCTCAAAACTGAATTCCTTAGAATTTGATTTTACTCTGCTAACTTTAAGAGTTTTAGTAATATCAAAGTGATAAGCTAATACAGATTTTCTTTTTTAATAAGAATAACGTCAAGCTCACTCTTAATTTCTTAACACAGTCTGGGATCTCTCAGGGAGTAAGTTTTAAAAGAATACTAATGATTTGTAAGAACAAACAGGAATAATCTGATTTTTAAATTTGAGGTTGTTTCACTCTGATGTAGCCTTTTAGTTTTTTTGTTTTGGTTTTTTTTTTTTTTTTTTTTTTTTTTTTTTTTTTTTTTTTTTTTTTTTTTTTTTTTTTTTTTTTTTTTTTTTTTTTTTGGTTTTTCTTGTAGCCCTTTAAAAAAGGACTCTTAAAAATGATTTTTTTAAAAACGAGAAATCTTGCAGTGCTAACTGCCTTGAGCTGCCAATTACCTATTTTGGAGAATTTGGTGACTCTTGTCGGTAATGATGGCATTTACAACATTTGGCATTTCCCCTTTTTCAGCTCAGTTATCATATAATGCTTCCAAGCTTTACTAGTTCCTCTGTAAGTCATTTCAATTATGCCAGGATATTTGATGATTTCGTTTATTTAGAATTAGGTAACAATGCTAATTATGCTATCCTTATGCTTGAAAGATTAATCTTACAACTTAAACATAAGCTTTAGTTATATTTGGGTGTAATCCTTGGCTAAGTAACCATTAAGACTAGTAGCTAACACTTGGAAGGAGGCTAACTAGGATTGGGAATACATGTCTCAACTTGAAAAACCAAATAGTGCTAAGGGACCCATAGGGTGATCAGACCTGTGACCTTGGCCTCATTTGTATCTTGTTTTAACTGAGGTGATCAGGCGCTTAGTACCCTAGAAATGGACTGGAATTATTGACTCTTACTTCTGTAACGTCACAATCTTCCTGGTTTTCAGAATAAAGTCTTTTTGTGCTTTATGTACTCTATAATAAAATGTTTGACTAATTTATATAGTAGTATTTGTCAGCCTGTACTTTTTTTTTAACCCATGACCTAGTCCTAGACATTTTTTTCTTTTTATTCTGTTCTGAAGCAAGCTCTCGTTTTTGCCTTCCTACCAAATTGACAGAATGGGCAGACACAGGAGCCATATTGCCAGTTTCACAGAAATGTTACTTGAACTATTACTTTCCCTTCTTGCCCAGGATTTGCCTGTAAGCATTCAAATTGTTTTGAATTTCATTTTGCCTTCTTTAAGTTAGAGGTATTTAATGACTGAAGACTGGCGGGAGAGAAAGTATCAAAAACTGAGTAAACTATTCTTGAGGGGTTTTGTTTCTAAAACAGCAATTACTGAAAAGATGTTCTTTGAAACTTGATTTATATATTTTTACTTGCAAAAGAAAATGCTGTGTTTTGAGTATGAAAATATGATTGGGTTTGTTTTGGGAACCACTGACTGATGCCATAATTTGCACTTAAAGACTATAAATTACATAGCCTTACTTTAGCACTAGAAACAGTCAATTGACATCCTTTTTATTTTGCTTTGGTATTAAAAACTAATTCTGACCAAATGAAATGTCCTTTTTTTGTTGTTTCTTAAGAAATAATGAGAGTATAGTAAGCAAAGGGATAATTTAGATTTCAGGTTGGACAGTTTACCCTGAACAAACTAAACCATGGGAAGTACAAACACATGAATGAAACATTTTTTACATCAAAGTATCATCAAAGATTCTTGTTTCACTTGATGCAATTAATCTTCAAATAAAAATTTTTAATAAACAGCTGTCCATTTATTTTCTGTTAACTCATTGTCATTTTTTTCAGTGGTAGTGGAGAAAATATTGACTTAAAATTATTACTCTTAGGTAGATGGGTAACATTCTCTTCGAATTATACCATTAGTGGGCTTTTTCAAATTTTGTCTAATGAGCTCACAATCTCATAACTTGAGGAAAATCAGGTCCTCCTCTTCTTTCAGACTGGCATATTGCCCTTTTAAAAATGAATGAATGGCCAGGTGCAGTGGCTCACGCCTGTAATCCCAGCATTTTGCGGGCCGAGGTGGGCAGATCACGAGGTCAGGAGATCAAGACCATCCTAGCCAAGATGGTGAAACCACGTCTCTACTAAAAATATAAAAATTAGCTGGATGTGGTGGCATGCGCCTGTAGTCCCAGCTACTTGGGAGGCTGAGGCAGGAGAATTGCTTCAACTAGGGAGGAGGAGGTTGCAGTGAACCAAGATCGTACCACTGTACTTCAGCCTGGTGACAGAGCGAGACGCCATCTCAAAAATAAAAATGAACATGCTGCCCAAAAAATTTGCGTCTGTTTTAGTAAGTAGATTTTCTTACAGGATGAAAAAAGTTGATTGTAGGTTTAGGCAAAGTGATCCTCAAGTTAACCTTGGGATATTTTCAGAGGAGAACCAAACATAGGCTTACTTTTCTAAAAGTCATGTATTTCAGTTCTTAAATTCGTGTGGGACAAAACCATGGTACTTGTCTGAGTTGCAGTTAGGCTTTCCATTTCAATTTTGCCACTATATCAAACATTATACTTTTAATAAAACCCTCAAATCTTATCCATCAATTTCTCTGTAATGGTCATTTATATACAATTGCATAGTTCTGAGAAATTGATTTATCTGAAAAGTATTTGCTTACTATGTAAGCCAAGGGGGTCGGGGAGGGGAATACAAGGATGAATATAAGTTCATTATGGATTGTTTACCTTAATATGAAGTGAAACCATCCTCATAAGCTTTGAAAAATTAGACTTGTTTGATCTTCTCTAAATATAGAAAATGATTTTTTTTTTTTTTTTTTGAGACGGAGTTTCACTCTTATTACCCAGGCTGGAGTGCAATGGCGTGATCTCGGCTCACCGCAACCTCCGCCTCCCGGGTTCAGGCAATTCTCCTGCCTCAACCTCCTGAGTAGCTGGGATTACAGGCATGCGCCACCATGCCCAGCTAATGTTTTTTGTATTTTTAGTAGAGACGGGGTTTCACCATGTTGACCAGGATGGTCTCGATCTCTTGACCTCGTGATCCACCCGCCTCGGCCTCCCAAAGTGCTGCGATTACAGGCTTGAGCCACCGTGCCCGGCCAAAAATGATTTTTTAAAACTCTCACATCTTTCACATAGTTAACAGCATGATTCTCCATGTTATTTACACTTCAGACATTTAACTTGGAATCTTTTAGAAAAATATGTCACAGTGCTGGACTGATATATACTTTGGCATGACAGTTTATTCAGTACTGTATATGGAAAAACTCACTTAGTGTTTAGTATCATTTAGTGTGCTGAAAACAAAAAGCAGGAGAGGGGGATAAGGACTCTACAAAGCGTATTGGCTTTTACCAGAAGCTTTAAGCACAGCTAGACTATTTTAACTGTGTTTTTAAAATTGTTTAACCATAACTTCCAAGATGAAAATCTCTAACTGCAAAGATAGGAAAGCTATTTCTACAGTTTATCAGGGTCTGAGAATATACTTCTGTCAATGAGAAGACACAACATGTTCTAAATACAAATTCTTGCGTTTGGTTGCAAGTATAGCAATTTAACATAATTTGAGATGTATAATTACAATGATTTGTTGTTAGTATAGGGCAGTTTTGTCACAAGTTGTTAAGGATCCAAAATATCTTGTTAGAATGCCATTATATATAGCTGGGGGAGAAGTATCCACCAGGTGGGGTTTAGAAATTTGAGCCAGTATTTAAGCTATTTCAAATGGAACTCAGAACTGAAAGAAAACTTCTGGATGATGCTAACAACTGCCAGTTTGCATTTCCCACAGTACACTCTGCTCACAAAAGGTATAGCAAAATAACTTTTACTCTATAAAATAAATGGGTTGAGATGCTGTTCTGACTTTTATAGCATAGTAGTTTCTCCTAGCCATGGCAGTCAGCTCCATACATGCATTTCCATGTGGTACATAAATCTTAATGATGGTCATTACAGAATTTTTTTGTGTGTTGAGAACAGTGCCTCACACTTGTAATCCCAGCACTTGGGAGGCTGAATCGGGAAGATTGTTTGAGGCCAGGAGACTAGCCTGGGCAACATATCAAGACCCCGTCTCTACAAAAAATAAAATTAGCCAGGCATGGCAGTGCACGCCTATAGTTCCAGCTACTTGGAAGGCTGAGGTGGAAGAATTGCTTGAGCCCAAGAGTTCAAGGTTACAGTGACCCAATTATGCCACTCACTGCACTCCAGTCTGGGCAACAGAGTGAGGCCCTGTCTCAAAAAAATAAAGAAAAAGTTGTATTACAGTCATATTCATTCCCAAAGTAATGAATGTATGTGCAAAACTTTGGGCTAAGTATTTTGGGAGTGCGGAGGGAATGGTCACAGGAAAGAAGAGTCTTAATTCTCATAGCCATGTTCTTCCTCTGCTCACTTTGATTTCCAAATCTCCTAAGGGTATTATGAAGGCAGGTATGGCTACCATAGCAGGAGATAAAGTACTGCATTAACTGGAACAAGCCTATGGACTGTTTTAAGATCATTTATTAGGGGCTGGGGACAGTGGCTTATGCCTGTAATCCCAGCAGTTTGGGAGTCCAAAGCAGACAGATCACCTGAGGTCAGGAGTCTGAGACCAGCCTGATCAACATGGAGAAAACCCTGTCTCTATTAACAGTACAAAAAAAAAAAATCAGCTGGGCATGGTGGCGCATGCCTGTAATTCCAGCTACTTGGGAGGCTGAGGCAGGAGAATTGCTGGAACCCAGGAGGCAGAGGTTGTAGTGAGCAGAGATCTCACCATGGCACTCCAGCCTGGGCAATAAGAGCAAAACTCTGTCTCAAAAAAAAATCATTTATGAGAACACATTCAAAGCCACTGAGACATCAGGCAGCAGAAAGGAAGGTGGATGGAGCAGGCCCTATGAAGAACCAACGACAAAGTAGTAGCCACAGTTATGAAATTCATTTTATTCTGATAAAGACTAATATATGCCTGATAACCTAGTGATAATCCATAAGTTTGGTAGTTCACAACATTTTTAGAAAGCACATAAGATTAACATTCAAATAAGACATTAGAGAAAGTTTTATAAAGAATGAAATGTTTACTAGAATTCTTTTTAAAAAACCTTCGTTCATTTTAAAAGATTGATGAATTTTTAAAGTATTGGAAGAAAAAGAAAATAAAATGTTCCCCCCCAAAATACATAAGAACCACTTACTTGTATTTTAAGTACCTGGAAAAAAATAAAACAGATTTTTAAAGGTAATTAATAACAGCTTGTACGAGGGCTTGTTTCATTTGATTTGGCACCAAGTAAAGTAAGAGTAAATATATCATCAAAGACATAATCAAGCTTTTCCTCCACCTCTCATATTGCCCCACTTCTCCTACCAGACCAAACAGTACATCAGCAACCATCCTTGTTGTCCCACTAAGGAATCACTTTAGATTCCAATATTTAAATGGCTGCTCAGATGACACCAATAGAGTTCTTTCTCCTTAAAATAAGGTGGCAGTGAATGCTAACAGGTATTGATTTTTTTTTTCCGCCGCCATCTTGGAGAACAGGTATTGATTCCTTTGATCAAGAACAAAGAACTCCTTCAGGAAACTCACTTACTTTCCTGTTAACATATCATGTAAATTCTTTTTATTGGCATACCTTTTTACTAATTATGATTGATTGTTATTTATGTCAAGGGAGCATTTCCCAGGCATGCCTCATCTATTTACTAATGACAGTATGCTTACTTTATTTACATAGTGCCATGGGTTTTCTCTTTTTTCTTTTTCTTTTTTTTTTTTTTTTTTTTAGTTTTGGTGTTTTTTTTTTTTTTTTTTTTTTTTTTTTTTTTTTTTTTTTTTTTTTTTTTTTTTTTGCAGGGTTGGGGATGGTACCATAACGTTATTTTATCAGGGCCGATCAATCATTTGGATCAAAAAAAAAGAGAAACTGGCAAGTAGATCCTAAAACACATTTCTTAACCTAAGTAACATATCTGAAAACAGACTTTAATTACATTGTGTTGAAAATTCATTCAACTCTGGTGCTTGTCCAAGGACTTACAATGTCAATTTCTGACATAAATCATAACCCTCAGTACACATGCATTTTCAAAGGAAACAAGTCATCTTAAAGTAAGATTTTTCTTTATGTGAATTGATAAATTTTTATAGCATATTGAAAATTCTGAGTAAACAAAGTATGGTTAACAACAAAATAAATACAGCATATGTGGTTAGCATATACATTTCTTAGGGTAAAGGCAGCAGTGAATTTGTGTCTTACAACAAATCTATAAATCCAGTTGCTTTCTTTCTGGAATTTTATATAGTGTCTCACCATGTTCCAAAATGCTAGAAATGTCTTTTTTTGGCATCATTCTAGGCAAAAATTTCTGACATTTTCCCCAAATGACATGTAACATTTTTTAGTTTTCCAGAAAAATATGGAAACTTTACTGACCACTTATTAACTGAACAAAATGTTAGATTACTAACAAATGCTCTTTTAATTTTGCTCTAACATGTTTTAAAAGTTCAGACATCATTGATATTTTTGAGGATAACTGAAATCAACATACTAGTTGATTTCAAAGGATGAATCTTAGTATCTGACTCATTTGGCACATTCTTAGTATCCAGAATAAAATCAATAGAAATAAAAGTAATAAAATTTTCAAATAATTCATACATACTGGAAGTCTTAGGAAAAGCAGCTTCTAAATGCAAGGACTAGGAGGTCTGCCCATCTTACAATTAATAGTTACACACATTTCTCGTCAAGGAGTAACTGAAGCTTTCTGGCTTGTTTGTGGAACTTTAGTTTGTAGGAAAGCATATACATAGGGCCAAATCTTGTTGGTTTCTGTTCCAGAAAATGTTTCCAACACCCCTTTTTTCCTAAAGATGAAACAAAAACAAAAGAAACACAGGTCTGAGTCTTCCTAATAAGCTCTTTCAAAGCTTTTCTGTAAATGATGATGATGTGGATTTAGGAGTCCTGGTAAGTATAGGTCTGTGTAATCAGGAGAGAAAGGCACTTGGCTGGGCATTGGAAAATTTAGATTTTAGTTTCAATTGTATTCCTTGGCTTACAGAAATGTAACAGCACCCAGCCAGGTGCAGTGGCTCAAGCCTGTAATCCCAGCACTTTGGGAGGCCGAGGCGGGCAGATCACAAGATCAGGAGATCAAGACATTCTGGCCAACATGGTGAAACCTCACCTCTACTAAAAATACAAAAATTAGCTGGCATGGTGGCTCACGTCTGCAGTCCCAGCTACTTGGGAGGCTGAGGCAGAAGAATTGCTTGAACCAGGGAGTCGGAGGTTGCAGTGAGCCAAGATCACGCCACAGCACTGCAGCCTGGGCGACAGAGGGAGACTCCGTCTCTCCCGTCTCAAAAAAGTAAATAAATAAAATTAAGTAAATAATAACAGCACCTATCATTTATTGAGTTTATTGAGCATACACTGTGTGTCAAAGGCTGTGCTACATGCTTTACATATAATAGTTCATTTAATCCCTTCCAAAGCTCAAATTTTCTTATTTTACTGATAAAATCACATCTTTATAATGTAGCTTAGCCCCAGTCACCAAGTTGGTAGTACATTTCCAAAGAGAACCTGTAAGATATTAGGATAACTGTCAGCTTTTTTTTTTTTTTTTTTTTNTTTTTTTTTGTCTACTTACTCCTTTGCAAAAGCTACTTTCTAATACTTGAATATCCTTCCTTTTTGCCTAGGCCAACATTTATTTTTTCCTCTATTTCACTCTTTTGAATTTTGAATTCCACTCTTTCAGTTTTATTGGGTTTCCTATTGACTATCTTCATTTCTCCCCAGGCAGATCTGCCTAGCTTGTCACTAGACCAGCAGCCAAAGTATATTTTATTTACTCCAGTTTCCTGTGGATAATATAGTGAGGAGTGAGGATCAGAATCCTGGGGTTGCTTTTAAAGCCACACAGATTCCCTCCAGAGATTCTGGCATTCCTTTTGCTAACACCCCTCCTCTAGTCCACCTACACACATACGCACTGGTTTAAAGGGTGCGTAAGGGCAACCTAAGAACTCTGGTTTATTTTTACACAGAAATATTTTCTGTGCAAACAGGATCCCTCATACCTTTGTAGCCCTTCTTACTAGGTTTTCAGGGGCTTCACTAAGGACAAAAACATTCCTTTCTTGATACCTCATAAAATTTACCACAGTTAGCTTAAATAACACCCACTGTTTTCTTGGTAAGAAACACTGCAAAGATGGGAAATTATGCAAATACGGCATTCTTGGGATATTAGAAACCCTCCTGCTTCTAAATTCACAGGCACCTGGTATAGCTTTCAAGGGATCAAGCTTCTTAACTGTTGTAAGCCACTTGAAGAGCCACTTTAAAAATCAAGCCAATGTCACAAGTGGGTTAATTACTGAGGGCACAATTGCAGGCGCCTATTCAATCCTAAATCGTGGATAAACATTCGTCATTTTTATTTCTGTGTAATAACATGGAACCAGCTTCAACAATTGGTCCTTCAAAGAGTAAGGGCATCATGTTGTTTGTAAATATAGACCAATTACTCTATAATGTCCCACAGCTAAGAGGCTTTTTTAAAACAAAACAAAACAAAAGACCCCAACAATATAACTGTCAGCATTTTTAAATAACAACGCTGACTAGGCGGGCAGATCACGAGGTCAGGAGATCAAGACCATCCTGGCTAACATGGCGAAACCCAGTTTCTACTAAAAATACAAAAAATTAGCCGGGCATGGTGGCACGAGCCTGTAATCCCAGCTACTTGGGTGGCTGAGGCAGGAGAATTGCTTGAACTTGGGAGGCGGAGGTTGCAGTGAGCTGAGATTGTGCCACTACACTCCAGCCTGGGTGACAGAGCAAGACTCTGTCTTTAAAATAATAATAATAATAATAATGCTATTACTAACGTTCTTGCAAATATAACTTAAGAGTTTTTAGTTAAGTCTTACTCTAGTTCTATGTGTGAAAACTGAGAATGAAAAGCTTGAATTAGGCTGGGCATGGTGGCTCATGTCTGTAATCCCAGCACTTTGGGAGGTCCAGGAGGGTGGATCACCTGAGATCAGGAGTTCAAGACCAACCTGGCCGACATGGGAAAACCCCATCTCTATTAAAAATACAAAAATTAGCCAGGTATGGTGGTGCGCCCCTGCAGTCCCAGCTACTGGGGAGGCTGAGGCACAGGAATAGCTTGAACCTGGGATGCGGAGGCTGTAGTGAGCTGAGTTGGCACCACTGCACTCCAGCCTGAGAGACAGAGTGAGATTCTGTCTCTAAAAAAAAAAAAAAGAAAAGAAAAGCTTGAATTAACAGCAAGAGGTAGCAAAAGCCAGAAGCAGCCTAGAAAGACTTCTAAGGTATCTCCTAAGATAGAGACCTATGTCATTCACTGCATCTTCGCAGCCTTCCTCAACTTCCTTTCCCACATTTTTTTTTTTTTTTTGAGACAAGGTCTCACTCTGACACCCATGCTGGACTGCAGTGGCGCATTCATAACTCACTGCAGCCTCAACCTGCTGGGTCCAAGCAATCCTTTTGCCTCAACCTCCCAAGTAGTTGCGACTATAGGCATGTGCTACCATGCCTGGCTAATTTTTTTTTCAAGTTTTGTAGACACAGAGTTTCGCCATATTGCCCAGGCTGATCTTGAATTTCTGCCTCTTCAATCCTCCTGCCTTAGCCTCCCAAAGTGCTGGGATTACAGGCATGAGGCACTGTCCTGGGCTCCTACCCATATTTTGATATTTGGACAGAATGAATCCCAACAACCCCTGGTTCATGATTGCACTGGGAGATTATCTATTCATAGCCTTACAGTGCTGGTGTTATCTGCCCAGCAACAATGCATTCTCCCTTCTGGTTACTTTTGGGAAACAACCTCTCTACCAGACTCAGTCACGAGGGTCAGGAGAGACTGTTCCCACTCCGCATCTTTGAAGATGGACATGATCAGAGCTAATCGGTGCCAACCCCAAGACTTTGCTGGCAAAAGAGGCTCTTTTCTTCTGGAGTTCCTGACTAGTAGGAGGTAAACTGCAAAGTTGAGGGGCTGCAACACAGGGAGAGCACATGTGAGACCGAAGTCAACACAGGACAATGGAGCTGAGAGACTGAGGCCTCAAGATGGGTGTTTTTCAACACCTGGACCCAGCCATCCACTTTTGACTTTTTAGTTACATTACCAATAAATTTCCCTTTTGCTTAAGCTGGTGTGAATTAGGTTCCTAGTTAATATAAGAATATTTCACATTGTATAATAAATACTGTCTACCCAGCCCCCAACGTCACGCACATACAGAGCTTCTTGGGACCTGTCAGGGACTGGATCTAATTGTCTGTGTGGACCAAGGGCCTAGCACAGTGTCAAGAGAGTAAACAATAATTGCTGACAACGAATGAGTTAATAGCCATCAGGGCTGTTGTAAGACTTTCTAGGATCTCTCACTTAATTGTTAAGATTCACTCAGGGTGTTTGGCAAAATATTAAGGGAAATATTAGGGAAAGTTATAAGACTATAGTCTCAAAGGTTTGAGATTATAACCTTATAACTTTCCCTAATATTTCCCTTAATATTTTGCCAAACACCCTCAGTGAATTCTAACACTTAATTCCTTTAACAACCCTATAAAGTAGATGCTATTTAATATTGCCTGATTTTACAAATAAGGAATTTGTGACATAGAGGTTAAATAACTTGCCCAGGCAGGGCAAAAGAGATGGTAATTTTCAGAAGGAGCATCATTAAACAAATGGCAAAATTACAGTAATGGCTACTATAAAAAGTGGATTGCCAACCTTGTAATTTTATGCTCCAAAAACAATTAAGATAGTTTGAAAGGCCAGACATGGTGGCTCACACTTGTAATCCCAATGCTTTGGGAAGCTGAGGCAGGAGGCTTGTTTGAAGCCAGGACTTTGAGACCAGCCTGTGAAATATGGCAAGAGCCTCATCTCTAAAAAATGTTTTTTTTAATTGGCCAGGTGTGGTGGCATGGGTCTGTATTCCTGGCTACTTGGGAGGCTGAGACAGGAGGATTGCTTGAGCCCAGGAGTTCAAGGCTGCAATGAACTATGATAGAACCACTATATTCCAGCCTGGGTAACAGAGTGAGACCCTGTCTCTAAAATAAATTTGGAAATTATTCCTTCAGATTTTTACTGCATACATACTCTACCACAACAACAATAACAATAGCTAACATTTCTATAGTGCTTTCTATGTGTTAAGCACAGTTCTAAGAGTCATACATATTAATCTTTCAACCCTTTACTCTCTTCCCCAATTTATAGAGGAAAAAACAGGCAGAGGTTAAGCAGAAGGTGAAGGCAAAGATGGTGAGTGGGACTTGAACTTGGGTATTCTGGCTGCAGAGTCTGTGTTCTGCCCGTGATACTGTTCTGCCCGTGATACTGTTCTGCTGTGATCAGGGTCAGTATTCAATAAGCAAATGAATGAAAGGGGAGGCAGTCAATCCACTGCAAGGAGAAGGAAGGCTCAGTAAGAAAACTGAGTAAGTTTCTTAGCTTAAGTCAAATACTTATTCAGTACAGTTCCCATATGTGTTGCAGACAAAACAATGTTAGAATGTAAGCTTTTAAAGACTGCTAGCCAATTACATAGTCTGAGGGATTAGCTGCCATATGAGATTCTTCTACACCACAGCATCCTGTATTGACAAATGTGGTGGGCAATATTAGATTTGCCTCCCCAGCATTCATTCCAGCCCTCCCTCTGCTACCGATGATACCTAGCTTACAATGATTCAAGGCAGGATTTTTCAGGTTTATGATGGCATGAAAGCAACACGCATTCAGTAGAAATTGTACCTCGAGCACCGGTACAACCATTCTGCTTTGCAATTTCAGTACAATATTCAGTAAATTACATGAGATATTCAATACTTTATTATAAAACAGTCTTTGTGTTAGATTATTTCACCCAGTTGTAGGCTAATCTAAGTGTTCTGAGCATGTTTAAGGCAGTCTAAGTTATGGTGCTTGGTATTTCAAATTACAATGAATTTATCAGGACATAATTTCATTATACATTGAGGAATATCTGTACATAGCAGAGTTTGGGTGAGACTGTCCCACCGCCAGCTCTGGATGTGGACTAGTCAGTGTAATCAGTGGAATCCTTCCCACCCCAATGACTGGTTCTGCAATGGGCAGTAACCCAAGCCTGTAACAATTAGTGCCAGGCATTCCCTGACTGCAGTGGCTGTTCAAGGTAGCTCCATCTGAGTGATGCTCTGGGCTTCTTTTTATTGGGGGAAAGGTCACCCCTCAGCCTTCATGAAAGAGGAAGCCCTGGCTATTCCTCCAAATGTCTGCTACCAAGCAGGAAGCCTAAGGACAAAGCCAATACACACAGAAAGTCAAAACCAAGAGAACAGCAACATGGTCAAACCCAAGTGTGACTGCAGCACAGCCTTTTGTGGACTTCTATTATACAAGCTAATGTATTTCCTTTATTACTTAAGCCCATGTGAACTGGGTCTTTTGGCATTTTCGCATTTCAGCTCTAGAGTAAGGAAAATCATAACCAGACTTAGTGCACCATTATGCAAGAGAAGTTCGGAAAAGCAAAAACTCACTGGTAATATTCCAGGACTGGCTTTGTTTGGTCTTCATAAGCCTTTAGTCTCTTGATAACCGTCTCTGGTTTATCATCCTCACGCTGAATAAGAGGCTCTCCAGTCAGATCATCAATGCCCTAAACAGGATTAGAAGAGACTAGTATCAGATATCATATTTCTGAAGGATATTTTCATAAGCAGTTCAATTATTTTTAAACAGACATCTCTGTGCAAGTGCCAAGCACAAAAATGTGCTAACTTTTAAATAAATGAAATCCAACCTCAAGACAGATCATCGCCAACAGAAAAGGGAGACGCCAGTTTCATTTCCATAGTTATCAGTCACTTTAGCCTTGGAGTAAAAGGTTTTCTAAGCAGGCTCTAAGTAAGTTCACATATATACAAAGAGATTCAGCTATAAACTGGGAATCTCAACTGCAAGTACTAAATAAACCAAGGTGTTATGAATCTCTATCAGCCCAACTCCTAACACACTCCTTGGCCAAGTAGGAAATCAACAAATGTTTCTGAATGAGTAACAAACCCCTGTTGCTCCTGGGGCACCTTTAGCACCAAGCTCAGTGGACTAGATCACTCAACTATACCAAGTAACCTGAGAATATACCCTCAGGAGTTTTGGTCAGGCAGAGGATTTCCAAGTTCACAAAACATGTCTGTGAGGGCAAGAGGACTCAGGGACAGTCTGCTATAGGACAGTTCCACAACAATTACTCACCACAGTTTTGGGAGGGTTGAATTCAATGTTGTAGACTCGGCCACTGGCAGGATGAATCCAGCGAGCAGTAAGGCGTTGTTTAATGACCTCAAAGGGCACATTCAGGTTAATCACTGTGTCGATCTGATAAGCTCTATCTAGAGCTTCTGCCTGTGGAAGTGTCCTTGGAAAACCTTTATAAAGTAAAAAACAAAAAGAAAAAAGAAAGAAAGCAGAGGGAGAGGGGTAGAGGGAGAAGAAATAAAAGGGAAGACTTAATGTTGAACAATCTGAACAAAAGGAATGAGGTACACCAGGCAGGTTGATCACAGCTGCAGGGCAACTGTGATGGTTACCTGTCAACTTGACTAGGGCATGAGTGCCCAGATATTTGGCAAATACTATTCTGGGCATATCTGTCAGGCTGCTCTTGTTATGAAATTATCATGTAAATAGGCAGACTGAGTAAAGTATATTGCCCTTCCTGATGTGGGTGAGTCTTATCTAATCAATTTTAAGCCCCGAATAGAACAAAAGGCTGACCTTTACCCAAATAATGGAGAATTCCTGCTACCTCTAACTGGGACACAGGTCTTTTCTTGTCTTTGAACTCAAACTGAACTCATGATCTTTGTTCAAACTCCAGAGGCTGGCCGGGCATGGTGGCTCACGCCTGTAATCCCAGCTTTTTGGGAGGCTGAGGTGGGCAGATCACCTGAGATCAAGAGTTCAAGACTAGCCTGGCCAACATGGTGAAACGTCATCTCTATAAAAATACAAAAATTAGCCTGGCATGATGCTGGGTGTCTGTAGTCCCAGCTACTTGGGAGGCTGGAGCGGGAGAATCGCCTGAACCCAGGAAGCAGAGGTTGCTGTGAGCCGAGATCATGCCATTCCATTCCAGCCTGGGTGACAGAGCAAGAATCCTTCTCAAAAACAAACAAACAAATGAACAAACAAAAACTCCATATTTCTGAAATATGACAAAATGAAACTAAAGTTCAGCTAAAGGAAAACTATTAATGCAAAAGAAGAAATCCTAACAGATGTGTTATACAGCTAAACAATGTGATTCAAACTTAGAGAGGCAAATGTACCTGATGAGTGAATTCAGAAATATACCCAAGCATATTTGGGAATTTAAAATGTTTGACTTTGCAATGTTGTTACTAAGGACATTTTGTCCAGAATACCACAGAAAAAATAAAATTGGTAGAAATAATATATTTGCAAAAGCAACAAAAGTTAGGCCAGGTGTGGTGGCTCACCCCTGTAATCCCAGCACTTTGAGAGGCTAAGGCAGGAGGATTGCTTGAACCCAGGAGTTTGACACCAGGCTGGGCAACACAGCAAGACTCCTTCTCTATAAATAACAAAAGAAAAACATTAGCAGGGTGTGGTGGCACATGCCTATGGTCCCAGCTACTCAGGAGGCTGAGGCAGGAGGATTGCCTGAGCCCAGTAGGTCAAGCCATGATGGCACCACTGCACTCCAGTCTAGTGACACAGCAAGACACTGTCTCCAATTAAAAAAAGAAAAGAAAAGAAAAGTGACAAAGGTTAAAACTGCACATGCACAATTTGTTAGCACTAAAAATATTGCCTGAAAAATTACATTTTCTTGTTAACAATGAAATGTGGAAAAATTTGCCAGTGACCTAGACCTTACAATGTGCTAAGGTAATGATAATGACTAAAACTATACCCAGGAAAACTGGATTTGGGAGAAATAATGGTCCCCAAAGAAAGCTTATGATGGCAAAATCTCAATGTGTACAATTTTATATAATAAAAAATAAAGTATTTATTATAAAATTTACACTGAAGTAAGCAATCCTGGTGAAAACAATTTCGTACATTTAACAAGCACAAATGGACTTTAACAGCTAAATCTCAAGCACTTTCTAGATGCCAAGTACTGTATGCTAAATGGTTTACAAGAATCACTTCTTTTAACCATCATAACAACCCTAAAAGAGGTACTTCTATTATTCCCACTTTATGAATAAGGAAACTGCGGCCCAGTGAGGCTAGGTAACTTACTCTTTAGCTCACAAAGCTCGTAAAGTGATGGAAGTGGGATTCGAACACAAGCTGTCTTACCTAAATGTTCCTTAGTAGGAGATTAGTTAAATTATGATACAGACACAAGATGCAAGCCCATGCATTTTTTTATTTCATGAGGCAAATCTATGTTTTAAATACATATTTATTCAATGAAAAGGCAAAATGCAAAACATGGTATATGTATGTGTGTGTGTGTTATACAAAATAGATATAAACAATATTAGATACTACTTATGGCGAGGGGAGCTAGAAACTTAACTCACATCTTATACCAAATATAGTGGCGGCCGGGCGCGGTGGCTCAAGCCTGTAATCCCAGCACTTTGGGAGGCCGAGGCGGGTGGATCACGAGGTCAAGAGATCGAGACCATCCTGGTCAACATGGTGAAACCC